GTTTAACAACTTAAATGCAATCAAATATACCGATATCACAATGGTGCTTTGCTCCTTATGTAACAGATATGAAAAATAATTTTACTATTAGGACACAAGATCACAAGGTTCATACTGTACATATGAGAGCCTGCAGGTGGCCCAAAGAGGCTTAAGTTATTACTGACACTATCACAAAGCAAATGTTTGAGACTCTGCCACAGACGATAAGTGTGAAATGGAGCTTTCATATATCTCTGAGGATAACAATGTAATCCAACTGAGAGACAGAGAGCATCATGGACAGAAAAAAAGACGAAAAGCAAAGGGAGGAGGGTGGAAAGAAAGAGAGAGCGTGTGCACACGGCTGGCGTAGACTGGGTGTGGAATGCACAGGACCGGCCAAATGTGAATGTAGTCCCGCAGAGCACATGAGGGAATAGAGATCTGCTATGACAGGAATGTGAGAGTGGAATATCATTAAGCAGAGGGAGCAGCTTTCTCGTCCACACACGGTGACTAACACCACAGGGACGTACAGCAACAACAGCTGCCTAATAATACTCACTGACTGCACACTATCCTCATAAAGAGAACCAGCCAACCGCAGAGAGAGAACAGAAATCATTACTGTGTGTTTCGGTCTTCAAGATGGCCTCTTTGAAGAAGGCCTCTTTTTTTTCACACTGAACCGCTCGCCCCCTCAAGCTATCCAGACAGAAACAAATTGCAGACACACTTGACAGACAGATTTGAAAATTGTTCTGCAAGACCTTTAGGTTCACTTTATGAGGATGTATAAGCATTTATTCACTGCACCGTGTGAATACAAATTGCAAGTGGCATGTAACATGCAAAAGCACTGTGAAATGTAGGCACACTTTATATTCATGTATTTCCCTTCCTGTATATAGCAGCAAAATACTGCCTATTTTATACTTGTTACAAATGTTTCTGCTGCCAAAAAATTCAATAAAATCTAACAAGTATAAATCTCAGTGATTTATATATAAAGTATAATTCTATGAATGAGGTCAAACTTTAAATAAATGTATAAACGTGTGTGTGTATATATACATGCCTTGTCGCATTGCTTCTCTCTTATAACCTCATTATTTCTCACTAATAACCTGACTGAAGCAGCACATGCCCTTGATATGAATTCTAAAATTGATGTATGTTTAACTATCAACTTGAGCTTTGAATACGTGGCGGAAGGAAGTAGTTCCGCACAAAAGAGGGTTTTATTAGACACTCCGAACAGCCAAAACAACCTAATAACTAGCTGATGTGATCTCTGTATATCAAAGGACAAAGGGAAATTTGTTAATATTTAGTTAACATAAGAAGAAACGTCTAGCTTCGCAGTCTCTCTCTCTCTCTCATTTGGATGCATGCCTTGTCGCATTGCTTCTCTCTTATAACCTCATTATTTCTCACTAATAACCTGACTGAAGCAGCACATGCCCTTGATATGAATTCTAAAATTGATGTATGTTTAACTATCAACTTGAGCTTTGAATACGTGGCGGAAGGAAGTAGTTCCGCACAAAAGAGGGTTTTATTAGACACTCCGTTGTTTCTTGTTTAATTACACACACGTTCCGTCGAACTGTTGTATAAACGCAATATCACTCGAGTACGAGAGCGATATTGCTCACACAAACAAATGTATATGTACAGTGGGTACGGAAAGTATTCAGACCCCCTTAAATTTTTCACTCTAAATCTGCAAAAATGTCAACAATTCTGTGTTTTTCTGTCAATATGGGGTGCTGTGTGTACATTAATGAGGAAAAAAAATAATTTAAATGATTTTAGCAAATGGCTGCAATATAACAGAGTGAAAAATTTAAGGGGGTCTGAATACTTTCCGTACCCACTGTATATATACACACACAAATGTATACTTATATATATATTTAAAAATATGAATTCATTCAGTTCCAGATTTCTTTAAATATATATTAGAATTACATTTTTGTAAATATGAATTCTTAAAAAATTTAAGGGGGTCTGAATACTTTCCGTACCCACTGTATATATACACACACAAATGTATACTTATATATATATATTTAAAAATATGAATTCATTCAGTTCCAGATTTCTTTAAATATATATTAGAATTACATTTTTGTAAATATGAATTCTTGTTTGTAAATCTATTAATACATTTTATACACATACATATGCATTTTTTGTCAAATATCCATTTTCACTATGCTTGCCTATATTCTTTTGTTTTTGTAAATAATGTTTAATTAAACCAAGTAGACATGCACACAGACATGCCTAATTAAAACTCAAATACTTGCACTTGCAATGCACTGCAAACTGCAGGAGAACAGGAGCATAATCAAACATAATAATTGTTCATTAAATATTTAATGTACTTAGTTTATGAAAAATGCAAGTGACTGTCTAAACTCTATATTAGCAATGAGGTAGGTTTATAGAGAAGATCATGAACATTGTAACATGCACATATCCACCCAACCCTAATTTTACTAACTATATTCCTTTTCTATAATCGGCACAGGAAAAGTTCAAGCAAATATATATATTTTTGTATTCATGTTTGCAAAATGAGGATTTTAGTGCTTTTCTTTTCTTTGGTTTAGTGAAAATCTTGTGCATAAAGAGCCGTTTATGGGTTGAGTCAAGAAGAAAAAGACAAGATCACAGTCATGTTGAAACATCCAGATAGTCTGGTTTTTGCTCGTACTGTACATTCAAACAATGTTAAGATGTTTTAATGCATGGTAACTGAATGGGAGCATTCTTGTGGATTAGAAGCCATTTTTGGTCTCCCATTTATTGTTACCGAGGGAACCATTCTTAGAATTCACTTTATGAGCTCGTTTCCCAGAATGATTGTGCTTGGAAAATGATGGACAACAGCATTACTTTAGAGCAGCACAATATGCATGATATGGTCAACACAACACACTTATGAGCAATAATCTTTATATTCACTCATATAAACCCGCCACTCAACCCAGCTTTAGTTGTAGACCAGGAATTAACTTGAAGACAGAAAACACTTCAACCCAGTACTTTTTTTGTCAGCATGAACATTTACTTTTGCCATGTCATTTAACAAAAAGTGATATTAACTAGAAATCAAGTTTCCATGTGGTGTAACTTAGTTTTATTTTAATTCCACAAATTTGTCAAAAAAATTACAAAATACTCAATTGGGGAGAACACTGGACTCACAATCTGCCTTAATTATCTCTACTTTTTTGTTTACACTGTCATCCCATGGCGACTACTAATATATACAATAAGCTTCAAGATACCAGTATATATAAATCTTAGCAGTCAGAATGTACATTCTGCTATTGCCGCTTTGAAACAAGAAGCTAAACCATTGACAACACTCAACATCAAAGGTTTAAGACACAAAAGAGGGACAAAAGGAGAAAATGCTTGAAACAAAAGTAAAATGCTGTATACATCTGAGACAGATTAAAAGATATATGACAGTCCAATTACAGAAAGTGATCGGCTTTGGGCGTATACTGCTAAAAACAGGCTTCTAGGCATACTCTTCAAAGGATGCACAATGGCTTTTTTTGAAAACCAAAAGGGGAGTATTAAAAACAGTACTAGGGGCATTGACTGTACTTTGAACTGTAAGCTCGAAAAATGAAAATGTTCATTTCAAAAAATGAATATTAATTCTGATGGATCTGGAGAAAACAAACAAAACCCAACAAAAATACTGCATGTAACAGTCGATGATTGCTATCAAACAGCCTCGACATGATGGAGAGCAACTGAAGAGGCATCATGCATCATAGGTAATGCAGTGTCAGGAATGCAGAGAGCAGCTCAAACACAGTCATCATCTCCACTACTACTGTGAACACATGCACACACGGGTACACAGACTCCAATCCAAGCCACCCTCTTCCCCCGGGCTTCACAGTGAGAATGGTTCTATGAATCTGTACAGTAGGTTGGGAAACTAACTGCGCCAGGATGTCAGGAGACAAACCGGGGGGCATTGCTATCTTTTTCCAGCACCCTTTGACAATGTGTAAATCTAGAAGTAAAAAAATATGCATCAAGATGTCATACTGTTACTTAAAGCAGTCCGGTCGGTTTCGCAATCTCTAAGCACTGAGGACCTATCCAGCTGCAAAACTGAATGCCATTCAACTTTGGTACACAGAAAACAGAGCAAAGGGCTTTCGAAATACACTTAAAAAGCCATAAGAAAGCCAATTATAGTTTAATAACAAAAACTGAGGTTAATCAGTGCAATATTTATTCTTTCTAAATGGGCTACTTGCCCCAATACTTACGAGGCACCGCATATCCTCCTCCTTCAAGTGTTTTTACAAGCAACTCGGTTTGAGTTCAGCCATGAAAGTAAAAATATGGTCATGATGTCATGAGTGTTTGTTGCAGACTGTCGATATATATGAAATGTATCAAACAAACAAACAAAAAAACCGTCATCTGAGCTTTGACCTCTAGAGGTGTTTGGATTAAAATCTGGTACCATTCTACCCAGCCAACCCCGTTTCCATGGACTGAACCATCTGACATGGTTACCTGCTCTAACAGTGCCATCTCCTTCCCCTCTGAAACAAGGGATGACACTTGCGAAAATTATTATATCGGAGGTCTAACGACTCGGTTACGAATCCACACCTAATAATAATTATAATAATAATAGTAATAATTATATATGTATATATATATATATATTTATATACTATTTACAGACTCAAAAAACGCCATGCTGCAGCTTTTCTTAACATTATGAAAACCTCCTACAATGTATTAAAATAAACATTGAATTTAAGATAGCACTTTTCAGATATAATGGCCCGACTGTTCTGTTCCTTTGTTTTTCCCCCAATTAGCACAGTGACAAAGTATCTGGTTTTCTAGCACCTACAAAAGACGTCAGGGAAGCTTCTCAGAGTATGTTCATGCAGGAAAGTCACAATCAGTCTTGAGGACGCTGTCACTACTTGAACGATATATAACCCCCCGGGAAAAAAACAATGTCTTAAAAAAAAGTCCGGAATAGTGAAGAAAGCTGACAACAGAAAGAAGGTTCCTCAGACAATCCCCGTCACTCCACCGAACTGAAAACGTTCCTAGGAGTTCCCGTGTGTGACTGTTCTGCTGTGACCTCCTGTGTCCTGCTGATGCTCTGGGAGTCCTCGGTACATCACAGCTGCTTGTCACTTTCCTTCTTCAACCGGCTAGAAAATAGTAAGAGAAGAGAGTACTATGACAGATGTCTGAAGCACATAAACATTCCAGCAAAAGTTTGGCTGCAGGACTTACCTGTAATAGTCCTCCTGTCCTGGCAGAGGGCCTCCGTGCATGTGGTGATGACCGTGTAGCCACTGCTGCTCCATGGCCAATCTCTGTAGCTCTGCAGACTGTGCATGCATGGCCTGCAGCTGGTGAGCCGCTGACATGGGTGGTGGGAGTCCACCTGGGAGATCTCTGGGATATGGAGCGCCTACAGATGACATGGGAAAATTGATTAGTTAATGCCTCGACAAAGTGCTAGAATGATAGAGATGTTCACGTATGTGTCTTACCGAACACAGGGTGCCGGAGCATCTCGTGTTCATGTGGGTGCTGTCCGATCAGGGGGTTGGGGATGGCTCCGGGTGGGTAGGGGAACCGGGCAAGGTGCGGTCCGCCGGCCAGCGGATCTACTAGCGGATGTGCCCCAGAACCTGGGGGACACACAAGACATTCACCACCACCTTCGCCGTGTCAGTAGCTTTTTGTAATGGTACACAGTCAGTATTATATAGAAACACACACACTTACTATTCACAGCACTGACATTCAAAATGAACATCATGCTTAAAAGACAAGCGTTCAATAATATTTAATAGTAGGGATGCATGACACATCAACATCATATGGTCATCGGCCGATGTTGAAGATTTTTTGTTAAATGTATCTGTATCAGCCAATATTTGAGCTAATCTGAAAATTAATATCTATTTATAATCTATCATACTGTACATTATAATATTGTTTAAGTGTTATTTTTAATTGATATTAACAAAATATAGAATTTTAATATTAGCCATTTATTGGTTATCGGCAATATGAAAATAATTACTAGCTTATGATTATTAGCCAAAATTTTTATATTGGTGCATTTTTCATACTGTGTATTATAATGTGGTGATGCCTAAATCCACCTGAATTGAATTTTCTGTGTTTTAAATTTAATTTATTTAGACAATATATAGAATTTTTATATCAGCCTTTTATCAGTCATAACATGAAAACAATTACCAGCCAGAATTTCAATATATCCCTATTTTAAAGTATTTTTTAGCCTGGAAATTAAGCCATTGCTATTTTTTTTTTCAATTCAAAAGATTATCCTTCAGTGGCCCAGATGGAACCTGTGAAGATTTTTCACATTTTTGGGCTATTTTTGCGTGATCACTTGTGGAATTCTGTGAAATGATTTCAATCAAGTATGTTCTCATAGCTGAGAATACTGCACTTTTAATTGCAGCTGAACGCATAATCAAATTAGCCAATATATTTCATAAAACAAGAGATATGCATGAGATTCCATGTGGGCCTAATACAACAATCCAGCACACAACATTAGAGTGAAAGGTCCCTCACCTTGGTGCAGTGGGTCCTGTTGGTGCAGGTGTAGGTGTGAATGGATGTGCGAGTGCTGATGGTGGTGTGGCGTCACGTTGAACATCTGGAGCCGTGCGATGTTGTCGTTAGCCACGGCCATCCTCTCGACGTGTAGCCTCTCGGCCAACCGTTCGGGGTACGTCATCTCAGGCCGTAGCTGCGGCCCGGCCAGAGCAAGTCGTTCCCGCTCCAGTGGATTCAGGCCCGGGTGGAAGGAGGCGAATGGATGTGGGCCAGCCATGTGCGGGAGACCAATGGGCCCGTGTCGGGCAAAGTGCTCCATGGGGTTGGCGGAAGGATGCAGGCTGTCCAATTCTGGAGGTTTGACCTCGAAGCCCGGCTTCATCCTCTCCATTCTCATCTCCCTCTCGCGGATCTCCCTTTCCCGTATCTCTCGCTCCCGCAGCTCACGCTCACGCATGCAGGGGTCTGTGTTGTACAGGCCTGGCATGTGGTAGGCCAGGAGAGGGTCTGCGGGATTGAGTGAGACGAAGAAGGGATGGTTGCGGTTGGTGGGAGACATGACGTGGGGACGAGCGTATTCGCTGAGCTGGCGCAGAGCGGGTGTGTCAGGGCCGATGTAAGGGGGCACAGTGGCGATGGTGGTGGGTGGTGGATCAAAAGATGTCCGCATATGAGCTGATCCCACCATCTGGGGTTCACCCATTCGACACTCATGAGAAGAACTGGAAGCTTTCTGTAAAGACAGAGAGGACATTTAGGAGCAAGCAATCGATAATGAACAATTTGAGCAGAAATCATCGAATAAAGTTGCATTTCAACTTTTATGCAACACGTTAGACCAAAACTTACAGCAGCTCTCTCAGCCTCCTTCTCTCTCTCCCGTTCCCGCTCTCTTTCTTTTTCTCGTTCCCTCTCCTTTTCTTTCTCTTCTCGTGCTTTCTGCTCCGCTTCCCTCTTGGCCTTCTCCAGTGCCTCCTCCCGCTTCTTTGCCAGTTTTGACGAGGCCAGTGGTGTGAAGTAGAAGTCTGTTCTGGCACATGTGTTGTAACCTCTGTCCAGATGCTTGTAGAACCTGTAAACAGGATAGATGGAAAGACCATCAGCATAATCTTTGAGAATGAATACTGTCAGCGTCATTTTGCTGTGTGAAACCTTTCTTCTTATGTGACATAAGATATGAAAGTGCAGAAATCTTTTCACAGGCTGAATTTGCAGCCATTTGAAAAGCAATGCAATTAACTTTGTGACAAATAAATAACTTCTGGCATGTCCTCTCGTTTATACTGCAAAAGAGCCACTCAATCAGTCTTTTTAATCGCTAGTGCCATAATGAGCTGTTCTCTCTGTGCATTAGTGAGCTTATTGCTATTCACTGCAAGGGAGTGAGAGACAAGGCCACAGCAGCTCCACAAAGACATGCTCATGTTCTGATGGAGGCTTTCAGTGCTATGAAGCAGTCATTAATCTGTGTCCTGTCCACGCTTGATGAATGCAGAGGAGCCGAAGCAGGTTTAATTAGAACACTACATTAATAGTGCTATTTAACAACTTTTAAACAAGTACATTTTGCACAGAGCACAAAAATGCGTATCATTATTAATACACAATTTTAATAAATATAATATTTTATTCATAATAAAAAATAAAATTTTATTTATTTATATATATTGATATTGCATTTTTTTTGTATTGTTTTATCATGTATATTATAATATTATTATATATAATTTTAATAAATGTAGTAAAATATTTTTATTTAGTTTAAAAAAAATTACTTCCTACAATCAAAAATATAAATGACTAGTATACCGTTCTAATAAATGCAATCAAATAAAATGATCATTTTTAATATTTTTATAATAATAATAATACATTATTATTTAATGTTTTTTTTGGTTTATGATTTTATCTTATAATAAAAATATTAATATGTTTAATGAATATACTAAATTGTTACCGTGCAGATTGGCTGGCGTGACTGGGAGTGTTGACGACAGTGGGTGGAGGTGAAGGGCTCCTCTGTGGTGGTGGAGGACTCTCTGGCTCCTCTGCCTCATCCAGAGGCTCTTCTTTAATTTGTACAGGTGGCACAGTGGAGGGTCCCGGACAGGGTGCAGTGACTGATGCAGGCAGGGGCATGGATACGGAGGAGGGTGGCTGCTGCAGCGTAGCCATTGAGCTCGCTGCAGAGGAGGAAACAACAGAGGGTGACAGGACGGGCGAGCTGCCTGGCATGAAGGCATGAGGAGGGAACGGGGGCTGAGAAGGCGTTGAGTGCGAGGCAGAGGAAGAGGAAGGGAGCGGAGGTGCCGGCGGTGGAGCTTGACTTCCTGTCGCCGGAAGGTTTTGGGACTGGGTTAGCACTGGAGGTTGCACTGGTGGAGGCTGGAGCTGCTGGTTTTGAGACATGAGCTGAAGTGGTGGCGGATGGGCGGAGGGAGGGTGATGTGTGGATAGAGAGCTGAGGGGCTTCAAGGCGGGGGGAGGGGGCAAGTTGGAAGGCATCTGCGGGAATGGGGGGTGGCTGGGATGCTTGTGTGATTGAGGGTTTGGCATTTGTGGGATAGGGGTGGTTGGTGGAGGTTTGATGTGGGGCATAGGCAATGGTGCGGGCGGAAGAGGCTGCTCTCTGGGAGGCTGGCTGCCGCTCTGCGAGGAGGACTGCGACTGGGATGGAGGGGTATGAGGTCGCTGTTGCTGAGACAGGGAGGTGGCTTGGACCTGACCGGTGAGAGCAGAAGGGGGGACCTGAGACTGACCCATTGGGAAAGACTGAGCGGGTAAAGCGTGAGGGTGAGGCATGTGTGATGGCCCTGCCTGCAGAGGGTGGCCCATGGGCGGCATGGGGCCATGTAGTGGAGGCTGCAGGGACTGAGGGCCGGTTTGAGAGGGTGGAGGCGGTTGAGGCAGGCCTTGCAGTGGGGAATGAGGTGAGGGCAGCCTCTGCGCTCCTGACTGGATAAGAGACAGGGGACCTGCTGGAGGTATCTGCTGAGGAGGCATGGAGGTAGAGGGGATGGATGGGGACGGCTGAGAAGACAGCGAAGGTGCGCCTGAGGTGGGTGGTGTGGAGGCTGCTACAGCAGAAGGAGGGGCCGGGGGTAAAGCCCCTGTCTGACATTGAATGACCGGAGGGTGCTGGCCCTGGGGGATCTGCTGCTGCGCCGAGGAGTCGGAGTCACTCTCATTGTCACGCGGGCTGGGGATGCTGGGAGAGGAGCTGCGGTTGTCCTGGTCAATATCCTTGGGATCGCTGCTGCCCTCGTCATTTACGCTGCGACCATCCGAGCTCTCACCCTCGCCCTCTCCCTCACACTCTGAGGGCGAGTCCGGCCGTTCCTGCGGATGATGGATGGGAGGAGGAAGGGTCAATAAACTTGGCCATAGCAGCAGTTACTAATGACTGAATAATGGGTGCAGTCACGATCAAGAACAAATAACCTTTGCACATCACAGTGCTTGAGTTGTAATGTGAACTCCTGACATTTAAAGGATATGAAATCACTCTATCGTGCAATCACATTGCTACCATAGGTAACGGCCAAAATAAATACAAAACATCCGTAAAATCTAGTGTCTTCACTGGACTCAAATAGAACTGCCATGAACCCTTCAGTGAACTTTAGTCTAAGTATATTATGTTTTTTAGATTAATGGAGAACTATTCTTCCAAGAAAACCTCTTGTTGATAGTTTTTCTCCCAAAACAAATCCCACATTTCCATGCTAACAATAAGTCACATTATCACTTAGTTCTTTAGAAGTTCTCATCAAACAACCATCTTTAATGCAGCAGCATGAATTTAGAAGTATAGAAAAGAACAGAAAAAATCTGTCCAAGCTGTTTCTGTTTAGAGCTACACTTACTCTTCTTTACACAAAATAATTTGATTACATAGGTTGCTTGTTTAGTAGGAGTTACCTACCTGCGTTTTAGACTTCTTGGCGCTTGCTCTCTCGGACTCCTCTGTATCCGAGGCTCCTTTCTCTCTCTGACGTTTGGCACTCTTCATAGGCGATTGCGCCTCTTCCTTTGTTTTCTGTTTTGACAAAATGAAAACATGTTTCCTCTGAAAACAAGGTCCTGTGATGCTCAGTGTGATTTTGATTGCTATAGTCTGGGTCCTGTAGGTCATACCTTGCTGGGTTTCTTCATCGAGTCAATCTTGCTGTCAGTGCTGGAAGTGCTGGCCGCACTGGGTGAGGTTCGGCCGCTGGACCGCAGATCCTCATTGTTTGGTGAGGCTCTGCCATCTGGGCTGGCAGTTTGCTTCTTGCGGCCACTTCGTAGCGTTGACATCTGAACCGAAAAACAAAATATCTGATATAACACTGTTAACAATGCTAAAACACATTATATGCAGTTAAAATGGCACTAAAAGGGAACAAAGTTTGTGTCTTACTGAGCCGCGATTCCGTCGAGTCCTCATGCTATGCTTCCCACTGAGTCCATCGTCTTCCTCTTTGACAGGTTTGAACATAAACGGTGGCGGGTCTACAGGCTTCTCAATAGGGGGTAGTTCGCCGTACTTCTTAAAATGGATCCGGCAGTCGGTGCACAGCAGGATGTTTTCGCGACCCCCGTGGTGCCAGTCCTTGGAGGCTGTAAACACAAATTTGAGTTCAGCTGAGCTCTGCTTATTAAACACTACACTAACAGGAAGTGCTCCAGGCCTAGCCAAACACCTATGGACATGCTAAGGTCAAAGACTCTTACTCATCTGTGCTGAGGATGTTTTCGTATCAGAAGTGAGAGCGACATGAATGCCAACTGCATCCAACAGGTCAGAGGATTTAATGAGGCAAAAAACAAATGAGTAAGTGTCAGATTAGAAACGACACGCTCTGATGTCCATCTGCCAGATGAGGGACAGGGCCGAGCATCAGAGCACTCTCAAATTGAGACTAATTACAGGCCTACAGAGGGGATTATTGAAGTCTTCTGAAGGGGGAAGTCTTATGGTATCACTATATTAGGGTAACATCACTTCACACCATCAACTGACAAAACTCATTGTTTGCTTTTTCTCTCACTTTGACCCATTCGGCAAAAAAAAGAACATGGGTGACATTATACAACAATTAGTGCCGGGTCTCTAATTTGAGTCCAAAAAAACCCCCCACTATGTACGTGTGTGTGTGTGTGTGTGTGTGTGTTTATATATATATATATATATTAATTTCTTTTCTTTCTAAAATTTAAGTGACTCAATATTAACCCTTCTGTCTAAATACCAGCATGGTGTGATAGTTGTACTCACTGGTAGTGAAACAGTGACGGCAGGCGTAGCCCTTCAGTTCCTGCTCGCTGTCTTCACTGTCAAAGTCATCTTCGCTGGCTGAACTCAAGTCCACTGGAAAAGATAAACATGCTAGTTAATGAATGTCATTTCACAACTACAGTTTCTGTAAGACATGCCTGCTACACTTAACACTATCACTGGCTCTTTGAAGAGATAAGTAGAGTACACATAATAACAGCTATCCCTCACTGTTATGTCTCTTATCGGATTTGAGATTTCAGCTGTTTACTATTAAGAATCACAGAGGGGGATATGCACTCTGAAAAGTTTCAGGGATGTCATGTTCAGTGTTGGGCAAGTTACTTCTAAAATGTAATACATTATATATTACTAGTTACTGTCTTTTGAAAGTAATTAGTTACATTACAATATTACTGTCTCTGAATTGTAATGCGTTACACTACCTTTGAGTTACTTTCACCAAAATATCCACAGAAGTATTATAAAATGCCAAAATGTAGATTATTGCTGCTCATTCAACATCCAGTGGAGGGTAATGTGGTAGGTCTATATAGCATAAAATATATGAAATCATGTTTAGATACCGGTAGGCTATGTAGGTCTACAATAATGTTACGTTGTAGTTTAGGTTAAAAAAATATAAGCACAAATCGCATTCTTACATTCATAAATAACACCGCTAAATAAAGCTAAATATTATCATGTACAAACAATAAACACAATACCTAGCCTATAGGCTATTTTGAACGGTTTCAGAAGAAAACAAGACTGAAAAATATAAGTTGCTAAACAAGCCAAAATGAATTAGGCTAATTCAATGCGAAACTGAAAGCAAACGGCGTTTTCGCGCAGCCTATCTCTCTCTCATTCGGCATTAATCCAATTAAATGTGTCCATATTTGCGATGCATTTGAATGCTAAACTATTTATTATACAAACCAAGCTTGCTTAACACACTTAAAAAACATCCTCATCACATGAGCAAATGTGTTTGGCCTGAGCTCAGGCTGATCGGCATGGATTGTACTACGCAGTAGGCTACGCACTATTTAAATTAAACAGTGTATCTATATGTTTGGTTGACTATTTTAATTTTGATAATGAACAGGCTGCAACGTTTGCAATGCTGTATGTGTGTGCGTGAGACATCGGCGCGATCGAACAGCGGAAACAAACAACAAAAAGATACTCTGTTATTTTTGGTCATACAGATCAGGTTTTCTCTGGTGCTGTTTTGCGGTGTTAGTAAATTCACCACTTAATTTTGAGTTAAAATATGTTGTTGTAACTTATGTTACTGAGATTGTAACAAGTAATAATATTACCCAAATTTGATTAGTAATGCGTTATATTACTGCTTTACAGCAAAAAGTAATATACTACTGTAATATTATTACTTTTGTAATGCGTTACTCCCAACACTGGTTATGTTTAGTTGTGACAAGAGTCTGTCCTCTGTCTGTAAGGGGAAGAGAGGCAGATTGCACTTACAGAACTCGCTGGAAGGTGGGCGGGAGGGAGTGTTGACGGGAGTGGAGGCGGTGCGGGTCTTGATCCGACGGAAGACGGGTTGTCTGCGGTGCCTGCGGTGGGCTCTGCAACTAGCAGCCTCCGGGGTTTTCTTCCAATAATAGTAAAAGGTGATCAACTCCCCCTGTGAGAAAGAAAACAAAAAAAATCTCATCAGCCAACTGTTTTTACAAGCACTCAGACAGTCTCAGTGTATGAAACTGAACAAATAAAGTCTTCAACTACTATACAAAAATAATGTTGATCTGACTTGATAAGCGAATAAAAAGACTTCAAATGTCAAACTGATAAGGCAGCTGCACTGAAAAACATCAGTTGATGAAAACGGTTTAGTTTTGATGACAGATAGAAAGGAAGAAAGTACACAGTCCTGGACAAAAAATCCATGCCGGGTTTACCAGCAGGCCGGCTTGTTGTGCCATGGCCGTGTCTGTCCCAGGATTAGGCAGTGAAGCTCTCTGAATGCTGGGATATTAGGATCAGTACATTGGTGGCTGCCTGGGTGGCAGGCTCTTGAATGGAAACAAAGGAACATGTCAGGGAGAGCTTTGGCGCTACAAATAGGGAGTGAAATGGCTCCAAGCCCCTGTGCTAGAAGAGTCAATTGAACTTTAATCAAACATTCAGAGGGCGCGCTTGCCAGTGTGTAAGGCATATAAATCCCGAGCACAAAAGCAAGCCAGGAAATCAATACCCTACTGAAACATTAACACATGAAATCATGGATCAGAAGACGCTTTGCTGAGGCAGCCTACGCAAATTAGCTGTCGCTTTCCGGACACACTCAAAATACACATGCCCTGAAACCGTTGTCTGGTGGAGAAGCAATTATGCACTTTTCCTACGGTGGTTCCTCTTGTTTCTCTCTTGTACCTTTCAGTTTCCTTCCAACTGAATCATTTGCCTGATTTTGGATATTAATTTTAAGACATTACATTGGAATGGCTTGCGTGTCAACGGCTGAGCTTTTAACATGCTTTAATGTTTTAATGGTGCAGGAATGAGTGAAGAGGACAGTCATGAGGTTTGACAGGGACTGTTAAACTCAGGCTGAATGGGGCTTGGGTATCTTTAATGTGTATTGATTGCTTTTCCTCTTTGCTTCGACTGTTCTTCTTGACATAAATTTGTCATTAAAATGCTGTTCTCTCCAACACATTAACAGCTTTACAGCAAACACTTCAAACTATTCTTGGTAGCAAGCGGAAAACATGTTCTTCGAATCCTATCAGACGAGTCATAGGCTATTTTATTGCTTGAGTGAATTTTACTGAACCATATAAATTCGCTTCGGATGCCTGCACTTGAGTATATGAATTACATTTACATAAATCACTAAAAAAGCTGCAGCAGTCTGATGGCCAGCTTGCTAAGCTATCATGTCTGACATGGGCAAACACGCAAGATAAGTCTCGTACTTACAGCTTCTTAGGAGCTTTGACTGCCCCTTTTTCCAAAAGCAATCTAGGTACAGCATCATGTTCATCAAAAAGTACATGGAAAGTCACATTAAAGCAAAGGCTTCGGTGTTTAAAATTTAAATCCACGTTATGGTCTTGAAAATAATGGTGAGATCTGAATATGTCATTGAAGAAAAAATTAAAATTTCTAAAAAATTCACAAAACACAAAAAGTCAACAAACCACCTCTACTTGTATCTGAAAACACCTGTGAGTTAATGCCTTGCTATAACTCTTAAGAATAAGCCCAGCTCCAGCGGGTTTTTTAAATCCGTTGTGATGAGTGGAACGTGCAATGGCGAAAGGCCCAGGGCCGCGTTTGAGACAAAAGGCTTTTTGGAGGGGTCGGTCAGGGCGCAGGTGCAGGCCAAAGGATGGCAGGCTTCCTGATGTGAAATTTAATTGAAATGTGCAGATCAAAACTGTTCAGCAGGACAGCGGCAGGCTTTCTTCACAGCCTAATGACTGCTCGCCACAGCATCCCCCTCCCCTCCCTCACAGTTGCCCATTGCTTTTTATTTTCCTTCCCTCTATTTGATGTGAGCTTTGAAGCATGAAACCTCAACTTAATGCTTTAGAAGATAAAAAGAAAAGGTCATTTTAGCCCTCAACCATTTCGCCGGAGCACTTCATAGCTCTTAAACATCCTAGACAAAAAATTTGCTGGGGTTTGGCGTAATAACACTGTGAAAGGAATCACCGTGGTCATTCAAAAGTAATTCAGTCCACAGGCTATCAAGACAGGTGTCAAGGTTGGAGAAGAGCAGACATCCACTGGCGAAGATAACACAGTGATGTTTAATGCAATCTGCTGAAGCAATATGTAGAGGAGTGGGGGAATGAGGATGAAAAGAGTGATGAAATGTTTAGAGAGGATCTGTGATGACAAATTTCCTTGGGCGATAACTGTACGATGGAGAGCTATAGAAAAATCCCCTTTTAAGCTGGAAGAGAGGAGATGGAAGAGGAAATATGATTTGATTAGAAGCATGGAGGGGCTGTGCCAAGTCACGGCGCCGGGTTTCTCTCATATCCCTCACCCGTTTCAGCGCTGCCCATTCTTTCTGACAAGACGTTGCTGGTTTGTTTGTTGCACAGATAAGGGAAAAAAATTATATTTTTCTCAAGGTGCTGCACAGAAACGTAGGACTGGCAAAGAAGTAGCTATTAGTCTTTTATATAAGGAGATGTCCTACTGTGAAGCAAAATAAAAGATGACATCTGGGGGAGGAAATGTCTCCCATGAGTTTCTGTTTGCAGTGGAGGCCTGTGAAGCAGGATGCACATAGCGAGTGTCAAGTGCTAAGACTGACAGCTTGAATAACAAAGCCAGGTCTTTGTGTGAAAACAAAACTGAGATTTATCTCAACTATCTGTAGTGAGCATCAAATGTCAAATTTAAGCCTTCATTTTCTTGTTTTCTGTATACACTAATGTGCAAAAAAAAAATTATATAATTTTTTTTAATTTTTTTTAATTTTTTAAAGTCCACCCAAAGATGAAAATTCATTCTCATGTCAAAATACTCGGCCTAAAATACATTTTCCTGAATAGCTTGTCCCCCCAGAGCCAGGATAAATGTGAAAAGCTACGGTGTGTACCAGGGAGCGAGATATACTGACAACGTAAGCTTGGAATTATGAGACATTTCAGAATGCTTCCATCTGCAGAATATTTCTGGAGGGTGGATTATCTGATAAGGATGGGGCTTACCTCCTATCACGGCACAGAGAAATGCTTTTCCACTCTGATTTTGCCTCGAGAAAACCGACGATGTGTGAGCGCGTGTGCACAAACTGTAATTTCCAACAGATTATGCTTCTTTTCATCGCAGCAGACCGTTGGGGAGAAACCGTAGCTGGACCTTCTGGTCATGTGTGCGTCTGCATGTAGGATGGGTGCAAGGCCTAAACTCCTGTATTTATACACCCATCCGCACTCAGGCCTGGACTTGAACAGATGGTTTCTGTTTTTCCTGGCAGATTTGTGACGAAGCCACAAAAGGCCCCTGCTTTGACAGTGAGCCAAACGGTTAAGGCTGTAGCTGGCAAATACAGGGGAAGGAGAGCAGCAGAGAATGCAAGGGAGGGCAGCGAAGGGGGAAGAGAAAATGGAAGATAGCAACAGACAATCAAGACAGCCTGACGAAAACCTCAAGAGCATTTGCTTGGTTAAACAATGTTTTTGATACAAGAACATTTGGTCACTAGGTACAGATGGGCGATGTGCAGCTGTAAACATTAATTAGTCGAGTTGGCCCGTGTGCTTTCCGGTTCTTTCATGGGACCGATTGTGCCAGTGTATAATGTGGGCGGGAGTGACATGCAGAGGTAACTACAAATTCAAGCCTCTGTAACAGGAAAAGTTGAAAGAGGTTTGCCTAACATACGGCACTTTATATTTCATACATATAATATATATATATATAAAAAATATATAACATATATATATATATAAAACATATACATATATATATATATATATATACACACAACATGTATATATAATATATATATATATATATATATATATATATATATAATATATTTATAATATATCTCATTTGAGATCATTTTACTGTGTTGACTGTTTCCTATCCCGTCACAGGGACCACTGAACGCACCTCTTTAAATGGTTTCGTGGTGCTCGTTGTTGTATTTTAAAACACAATTGCAATGTTTTCAACTGACATTA